CTGTTTCCTCCCAGATGAAGCCGAAGAAGGGATTCAGGAACAGCGCTCCGGAGTGGGGCGCCTACTGCAACCTCACTGATCTGGGTCAGTCGGTTCTCCAGCCTTTAGGTCCGGACACAAACACAACCTGGAGTCCAGCAGAGTTAGAGACGTCTCCCGCTCTGGATTTGAGCTTCTTTCATTCACTAAAATAGGAATAAATCTGGAGAGAATAAATTCAGAGGTTTCATCGTTTGTTCCTTTAGTAACAGTTTTCCAGAGATGCTAATTATGAATATTGGTGAAGGTCAGTTCTGCTAACTTCTAAATCATCACTGTGATTAGAGGAAGCTAATGCTAAGGCGCTAAATTCAACCATGTTGAAACCCAACATGTGTCAGCAGGAGAGACTCTGAACGTCGGCCTCTCTGGAGCGCCGCCCTACTGGACGTTCTCTTACTGGACGTCGTTCTTTCCTCAGGAGTTTACTGCATCGACCGGCGCCTCAGTTACCACCTGGAGCCGCCCTGCAGAGGTACCGACCTCCTGACCTCTGACCTGCGGCTCCTTGTGTTTCATAATCTCCTGCATGACCTGGTGACCTGCTGCACCTGAATGCTGCTGATTCACACCTGGTTTTCTGAACTCAACTGTGTCTCCACAGGAGAAACCGTCCCTCTCTGGTTTATCTGCTCTTCTTCTTCATTCCTCCAGGAGAAAAACTTTTCCAGCATCACCACATTCCCTCAACGTTCCCTCAACGTTCCCTCAACGTTCCCTCAATGTTTTATTTTCTCAAATTATGAGAAATGAAGCTGAATCCAGGGTTTTCCCAGTGTGTTTCATATATGAATAGTTTTTATTTTTTTATAAGCTGAACTTGAAGCATCTTTTCACATTTCTCTGTCAGAATTATTCCTGAAAGAAAGATGTTTATAGTTTTAATATTTGCTGTGGGTTTTCAAACCGATCCCTGTGAGGATCCTGGATGATCTGAAATCCTCTGCAGATCTTCATATTGAGCTCAGTGTCGTATTGAGATGTTGCCGATGAGGAGAATATTATTAAAAAAATATTACATGTTGTGTTTATGTTCAGATTCACTAACTGATGACTTGGTTTGATTTAACTGAAGTTCAAATAATTTATATTTATTTTAATTGTATTTTTTGATCTGTTGGGTTAAGATTTTATGGTTGTGAGTTTCAGTAATGATAATTACCCAGTAATATTTTATTCAATATTTTCCTGTCAACTTATAATCTTTGACCCAAACCTCGGCGCCGGGCTGAACTGGTTCTAAATCTGTTCATCAGTTTTTTTACCATATTTTAATTTTTTAAGCTTCCAGGAGTTTTGTTTCTATAATTTGCATTTAAAGGTTTAAATGTTTAACCGTCAGATTAAACACCTGATGGTGTTTGACCCCGCCCCCTTCATGAAGCCGTGTTTCTTCCTTCCTGTGTATTTTCCAGACTACATGAAGGGCTCTCTGTCCAGCACCTGCTCCCTGAACAGCGAGAATCCGTACGCCACCATCAACGATCAGCCGGCGCTCTGCAAGCACGCCGAGAGCAGCTACGAGGAGATGAAGTCGCCGGTGCATCATGAGCACGCGACGCGCTGCTGCGCCATCAGCAGCGGCGGCGGCGGCGGCGTTCCACCCGCCAGGAACGTTTATGACATCGGTAGGCGAAGGCAGCTCCGTTAGAATAAAACCTTTGACATGAGTGTTTATTAAATATTCCAAACGTGAAAAAAAAAATTCATATAGTAAAATATGATTTTGATGAAATGAGTAAAAAACTCAACATCTTCAAAGTTAAACAATTTCATCAACATTTTTGTTGTGGCAGAAATTTTCTTCAAAAGCTCCCAGAAAAAAAATATCTGTAGATAAAATGTTTCTGTATTTATAGTAAAAAACTTTGGATATTAAAAGTTTTATTTTTTTGTCTCAACTAAACATTTTTTGAGAGACTTTATAATTTATTATATTTATTGTTTTTGTTTATATTGGAGATTTAAAATGTCTTCTAGTGCTTAATGTTCATCAGAACATAAACGTGTTATTATTATGACTTTATTATTATATTACTGGACAATGGCCTCAAAACAATATTATCATTTATCTCCATAATTTATGGCCCAGCAGCATTTGTTATGGCATCAGGTCAAAGGTCAGCTAAACCAAGTGAAGCTCAGTCATTTCTGTTTCTCCTGTCCATCAGAGCCGACCGTCAGCGCCGGCGCCGCGCTGCTGCCCGGTTTCCCTCAGAACCGTACGACCTGCCCAGGAACAGCCACATCCCGAGCCACTACGACCTGCTGCCGGTCCGGCCCAGCCCGACCCGCAGCATCACCCCGCCGCTGCCCGGCAGCCCCACCAGCTCGCTGCTCTGAGCCCAGCACCCTCACTGGGACGCTCCCAGTTCCACCAGTTTATGTCTTCGTCACTGTGTTTGAGCGTCGCAGCGTCTGAACTTGATGAACAGAACTTCCCGCAGAGGGAAACGTGACGGATCCGTCCAGAACGCAGATGGATCCGTTGTTCAAAGGAACTGAAGAACTGAAAGTTCCTGAACCGTTTCTCAGACAGGAAACTCGACTCCTGACCATGAAACCTCTTTGGGAACATTTCTGCTATTTTTACACAGTTTCTTATTTCCTGCTCACATTCAGAGATCCAGGAGGAATCAAAGTTTCTCTTTTCTATGTTCTAGATATATCTGTTCTAGATATGGACTTCTGGATATTGTTGTGCTTTTCCCATATTGTGTTGAGCTTTATTCTCCTGCATGCCAAAGAAAGATAGAAAAACATTCAGAAAAGCCCGATAGTTTTTACTGATGTTTTAGTTAATAATCACCATGTGACTCAGCGTAGAAACACCTCCGACCTGCAGGCGGCGCTGCAGAGAAAACCCCTCCAGTTTCCCTCCTTCGTTTCCAGAAAACGCTTCGCTCTTTTCAGACTGATGAAACCGGCCCTCTAGCGCCACCGTCAGGTTACAGCCACACACCTGGATCTGATCTACTGTTAACGGCTTTGGATCAGAACTCTGCAGAATTTCCCAGGAGGACGTCAGGTCAAAGGTCAAGGTTCAAACCGTTCCTTCAGGTCAGGAGAGGAACAGAAACGCTGTAAAGACAAAGATGAACAGAAATAATTTGGATGATTCAGCCAAAAAATGTGGAGTTATTTTATAAAATATATTTTCATAAAATTATTTATTAATTTCAAAGCAGTTTCAAGTCATTTAGATTCAACTTAAAGACTTAGCTTCCAAACAAAAATATTGGAAGCTAACTATGTTTATTATTTAGCCACAACTAAATATGTAGTTGGAAGCTAAATATTTAAATTGAAGCTAAATATTTAGCTACTTATAAATTAATGCATAACATGATGAAAATCTAAAATGAGGCGTCATTTTTTCTTTATTAGAGGCTAAATAACCCAAATTATTGCTGTTAACCTTTGACTGAACAGATCCGGTTGTTGATCCGGTGATCCGGTTGTTGATCCGGTGGATGATCCGGTGGGATGGAGCAGTCAGCGCTCCGTCTGGACTCACTTCTGGCCGTTAAGAGATGGGAGAATGAAATCCTGAATCCACCTGATGAGTTTTCCCACATAAACTTTCTCCCTCTGTCTCATCCCGGACAAATGGAGAAACATTTTTCCAGTTTCACTTTCCTGGCTGTGGAGGCAGCAGCTGTTAACTCCAGACGTCTCCCTGTGAATTTTCTTTTTGCTGTGTGTTTGAGATGGTGAACATTTCCTCATGCATATATAACATGCATACAGATTTCCATACTTACAACTTGTGTCTTTCCTGTTGATTTACCTCAAAACTGATTTACCCTGCAGATCAGCCTAAACTCAGGCTGGTTTGTTAAAACGCTTTATGTCTAAATAGTGAACAGACAAATGTTTTCCAAACCTTCGTGATTGATTTTTATCTCTGGCTCGCTCAGCAGTCAGTTGATTGTAACATCTATGAACAAAAGAGCAAAAAACGTGGTCGAGTGCAAACGAAGGAACCCGAGGACTCGGCCTTGAGGCGTCCCAAAACTAATCATCAGTTTATCTGAGGAAGGTGCAGAAGTTTACATTTTAATTTCAGCCGCGGCAATAACAGAACATGACAATCAGATGTAAAACGGCAAATTTTGTGTTTTGATTCCTTTTTTAAAATAATTTCCTGTTCATCTCTGACAGAAATGTTTGACTAGATGTACCGACTGCTTTCTTTTCCCACTTCCTGAATAAAGTCATCCTGACCCAGAGGGGCGTGTTGTCATCAGTTCTGTTCAACGCTGACCTGAACCTGAACCCTGACCTGAACCCCGAACCTGAACCCTGACCTGAACCCGAACCGAACCTGACCTGAACCCCTGTTAGCAAAAATATCGGCCATGTTGACCGATGTGTTTCTCCTCTAAACTTTTCTATTTAAAAAATTGTGAAATGGAACAAACGTGTCGCATTTGTGCACTGAATTATTGCACTGATGTCGCATTGTGTCTGAAAGTCTGCAGTAGCTGTTTGGGTCTTAGTGACCAAACTTTAGATAAGGAGCCGAATCGTTGTGGATAGAAATCTGTTTCCATGCTAACGGTTTGCATTCCTATCCGCTGCACGACTTCACGTCACGGCGCAGTGATGACATCATGACGTCACGGCGCAGTTATAACATCATGACGTCACGGCGCAGTGATGACGTCATGACGCAGTGATCACGTCACGGCGTGTGATGACATCATGACGTCATGGCGCAGTGATGACATCATGACGTCATAACTTCCAGCTGAAACACCAATAAATCTGAATTTAAATGTAAATGTGTATTTAGAAAGTTAAAAGTACATTTTAAAATATACAAACGTGAAAATGGCCGACATGTTACCGATCTGCGTGTTAGCTACTAACCAAGTTAAAAAATGTTCTGAGACACTCCATGCCAGAGGAATCAATAATTGAGTTGATCAGCAGGTTTATGACTGGTGCGTATTAAGATAAACTGATAACTTATATAGACACAATTGTACAATTCGTTGGTCTGTACAAAACATAAAACCATTCGAGTCGAGCCCACGCTTCGCCGTCACACTTGCTTGAAATGACATCATTTCATTCTGGTGTTTTCACTGAAATTACAGTCAGTTACAGGATTCAATATAGTAAAAAAAAAAAAGTCAACACAGGTTTAAAAAAACAACAACAACAGAACCAATGTGAACACGATCAGGACCAGAACTCAGAGAAAAGGAATCAGTTGGTCCAGAGCTGCCCTCTACCAAACACACACACTCCTGGGTTCAAACTGCCAGCACAACACACACTCAGGGTTTGAGCCGGACCGGACCGACCCTGTTGGCGCTGCCCACCAGAACCTTCTTCCAGAAGGAGGAATGAGAATGTCGGCTATGTAAGGCGAACGACAGAAAGCCATGCATCGTGTCGAATCAGAGGCAGCTCGGTGTAACGTAGGCGTCATGTGACCGGGCGGGGGGGGCCACGAGGCGGGGGGCCCAGCTGCATGGATCCGCCCGCCTCATGTGGTTCTAGTTCTGGATGTGCAGGAAATCTAACTTCAGCTAGAAGAGCGTGTTGTTAGGAATCAGTGATCGCCCGGCTCCTCTCTCTCCTGCTGCCATGGATTCTGGGAAAACGCCACGCAGAGTTAGCTGCACAGGAATGTCATCCGGGAAAAAGATTAGCGTTTCAGTCCTTCATTTTTCCAGAAGCGCTCGGCTCTGCATAGTCGGAAAAACGTGACGGATTAATTAGTGATGCGGCGCGATGCGGCGTTCCCGATCGGACCGCGCGGCGCCGCCTCCACAGTACATTGCACTAAAGAGGAGGAAGGGGGCGGGGCTTAAAAGCTGAGATACGATGTGCTTTACGGTGATTACATGAAGGAAGGAGACGAGGAAAAGAATCACATTCATATTTTAAGACATTTCAGTGACATGTCAGCGCATCTACAGTAATGAAATCTAAAGTGATATGAAATGCGCCTGCCGTCCTGCAGAAGCCTACAGGGGGAGGGGTCAGGGGTCAGGGGTCAGGAAGAGTTCAGGTCGCAGGATTAAATCTGCGTCTCGATCAGGCAGTCTGTTTGGGACGGTGGGGGGTCAGGGGTCACGGGGTCAAAGGGTGGGGCAGCAGCGGGTCCACGGCCGGGCTAGATGTTCTGACAGCACTGCATCTTTGGTTTGTTCTCAGTGGGCTGCACCTGGATGTTGACCACGTTGTTGCTAGGCGACATGTCGCTCTCCTGGCGCTCCGACATTTGCTTCTGGGAGACGATCCGGTAGATCTCTGCAGGGGCGAGGAAACGGATCACTGAACCACACTTTAACAAACAGACAAGAGATAAACAAGAGCTGAACACACAGAACCAGAAATAAACTTTAGCTCCGTGGTCCAAACATTTAATCAATTTATTACTGTTGATTATTTATTCTATTAAAATTTGTTTAATTAACTGATAACATCAGCCGACGTTGTAGTTTGGCCTCCATCCAGCCGGAGGCGCTGCTGGTAATCCTGAAGCAGAGCCAGTTGATACAGAAACAAACATGGTGGAGCCATAACAGAACCGGAAAGAAAACTGGTCCAAACAAAGTGTGACGTGTCCCACAGATCACATTGGTCCACCGCCAAGTTTACAAATATGATCATCATGTTAACTTATCACCACTTTGCTAATCTGTGAAGGCGAGGATTTGACTACAGATAAACGAAGAAAGCAGAAAAATAGTAACAGAAAAAAAATCATGAAGTCAATAATTAAAGTTTATTTTGAGGATTGTCACATTTTCAGAGTTTAATATCAATTAAATATCAACCAGACGTTACTGATGCATGAATTTCTGTTCATTATTTCACTAATTTTGTTCTCATCTTTTTTCAGCAACCCGAATATATTTCATATATTAAAAAATATTTAAGTGTAATAATGTGAAAAAAAAATCTACACCTGACAAAATATTGCTAAAATGTAATTATTTTTGAAATAAAATTGATCATGTTGTGAAATAATTAACTATTATGTTACGGAGAGACGATTGCCCTTCTTGATACAAGAGGAAACTGGGTTTTAATAAAACCAATGAGATCAATCACCTTTAGAGAAACTGATCAATACCAGCTTGTTTGGGTGGATTCTATAACTTCCTGTCATATTTAGTGTGTTTTTGCCTCTCAGTCTCATCCTGAAGCTGTAACTCCAGGTCAGCTGACCCACATTCCTCTGCAGGTTTAACGTCAGAACGTCCAATCAGACGCTGCGATGTTCCAGCCAGCTGGACCAATCAGACGCTCCGCCTCTCCCTGCTGTTATACGGCTGAGCCTCAGAGATAAGCCAGCTGTTGTGTGCTAGCCGCAGCTAACAGCCTCATAAAGCTCTGATAAGGACAGCGTAGGCCGGTTCTGCTGACAGGGACAAAGACGACCCATAAAGTCAGAGCACCCGTCAGGATGGTCTGGAAGGCCGTCTCCACGTTGGTGGAGTCCAGCGCCGACGTCTCCAGAAAGGACAAACCGTTTTTCTCTGTGAAGGAAAGTGAAGGAGACGTCTGTGAGACGCGTGACCAGCGGGACGGGTCGTCCATCCTGAGGCTGAATCTGGACTGACCGGCGAAGGCGCGGGCCTCGTCGGTGGGCACGGCGCGCAGGTGGCGCAGGTCGCTCTTGTTGCCCACCAGCATGATGACGATGTTGCTGTCGGCGTGATCCCGCAGCTCCTTCAGCCAGCGCTCCACGTTCTCATAGGTCAGGTGCTTGGCGATGTCGTAGACCAGCAGCGCCCCCACCGCGCCGCGGTAATACCTGCAGCATCACAACAACAGCATCACAACAACATCACACAGTCAGACTGTCACCTGAAAAATCTCTCAACTGTGGATACAAACATAAACATGTGTCATATTTCCCAGCAGCCACTTGGCCTGATGCTTTTTAAAGTGACAACTGAAATAAATTGTTCCTCATTCTGGGTTCCGTCTCTTTGATCATCATATTAATACGTTTTTAAAGTGATGATATGGAGCAAAATCAGAAACAGAGTTTCACAGCAGTCAACAGGAAGGAGATAAAGATGTGAGACAAAAGGACAGTTTTTGGTTAGCGTTAGCGCCTGCTACATTTTTTATATGGTTAGTGGTTCACCATTTTTAATGCGTGTAGTGATAGCTTCTGCTAATTTCCTAATGTTATGAGCATTAGCTTCTGCCAAGTTTGTCATGTGTTTTGCATTAGCATCTACCATTTTTAAAGAGATTAGCAGTTTAGGGTTAGTTTCTGCTCATTTTTTGTTTAGCGGTTAGCCAGTAGCTTCTGCAAATTTTTTGCACTAAGCGATTAATGTTAGCTTCTGCAAAATCTTTTTTGCTCAAAATGTTTCTATTGATAATTCAACAGAACTATAATACACTGTGCAGTTTCTGCTAATGTCTTATGTGTTTAGCATTAGCTTTGGCTAATTACTGTGTTTAGCATTAGCAGAACTAAGATTTTTGTTCAGTGAGTTAGCAGTGAACTTAGTGGTCGCCATCTGAACAGCTGAAGCAGCTCCCAGCATGCCTCGCTGGACTCACGCTGACGTGATGGCCCGGTAGCGCTCCTGGCCCGCCGTGTCCCAGATCTGGGCCTTCACCGTCTTGCCGTCCACCTGGATGCTGCGTGTCGCGAACTCCACCCCGATGGTGCTCTTACTCTCCAGGTTGAACTCGTTCCGGGTGAAGCGGGACAGCAGGTTGCTCTTCCCGACGCCCGAGTCTCCGATGAGGACCACTGAGGCGCAGAGAGCAGAGTTACAGTCCGGCCCGCTGGTTCTGTTTCCACTAAACTAACATTATGGGTTAAAGGGTGTGAACATTTATTTTCCCTGAAAATAAATTAAAAGATCCAAACCCATTTCTATCATTAAGAAAACCCTTAACCGGAAGTCGTAATTAAGAATAAAACTCAATCAGAGCATCAGTTTTAGTAATTATGACCTTAAAAATCCAATTTTGACTTTAATTCTTGTAATTATGAGTAAACCACAAAATATCTCCATAAGTAGCTCCAACTTTAAAACTGTAATTATGACTTAAAACTGATAAATATGAGTTTTAATCTTCTAATTATGACTTTTATTCTTTTAATTCTGACCCAGCTCATCATTTCATCCCAGAGGACAGACTGGTTACAGACTGGTCTGCAGAGGACGGAGGCCCAGGAGGGACAAACATCCTCTGGTGTCTCTGAATTTCCAACATTGTGAAATCAAAAGTCAACAAACATCCAAACTTTTATGATTCTGAGATTATGATCCATTTACAGTTAGGATTTAATGTTTTCAGTTTATTTTTCTGCGTTCACGATTAACAATGTTTACATTTGTGGCAAAAATTGGATTCTATGAAGCCATAGCATCTTTTCTACCAAACTGACTGGAGATTTAGTTTCATTTCACTTTTTGAAATTACTATGCTACAATAAAACCAGCTGGAAATGTGGCTGCGCTAAAAAACTAAACTTTCACAACTTTCTGCTTTGAGTCTCTCACCAAAAGTAAACAGCACAGCAGTATTTTGTTTTCAGAAATCAGTTGACAACAATCTAACAAAAACTTAAACCACCAGCAAAGTTTCCTGAGTTTCAAGTTTTCTTGTCTTGCAGAAGAAGATCATCAAATGCAGCTTGGATGTCCATGTAAAAACCAAATAAATCAACATGAAAAAACAAAATAAACCAAATACAACAATCAGTTGATAGCAATTAACCAATCAAACGTTTTAATCACCTCATCTCACACTAGTTTATAATTCATTTTATTTCTAGTCTTTGTTTATTTTTTGCCTGGAAACTTACACTATCTGAACATATTTCACATTCTGTTCCACATGACCTCAAACTCCAGGTGTTTGGGGGATTTTATGTGTCAAACCAAAAGAAAGTTGAAAATTGATGCTGAACCTGTGATCTGAAATGTGTGGTGTGCGTTTATATTCAGCTCTGCAGAACCTCATCTGTGGTTTCGCTCCACCAGCGCTGAATGAATGCACACAAAAAACATCTCCAGCTCACTCAGCCTGCATGGAGAACAGCAGTAACTCTTTCTAATGCTTCTTAGTTTGATTTAGGTCTGTACTTTGACTAGGCCACCCCATATCATCTCTGGCTGAAAGTTGAGAGTGTTTGTCCTGCTAGGAGGTGAATCTCCATCCTGGTCTCAGGTTTCTGCTGCCTCTATTTTTATTGAGGGATAAAATTCACATGCATGCCACACTTTTCAGAATTTTACTTGTGAAAAGAAAAAAAAAATCAAATAAAATCGGATTTTATGGGATTTAGCAAAACGGGTAAAGTTTAAAGGGAGTGAACACTTTCACTATGTTATGTAAATAAATAAATAAACACATTAATGTTTCATGTTAGCAGTAGTTAATAGTAATTTAAACTCAGTTGGACCCTCCCAGAACCTTTGCCACCCGAACAGAAACGACCCGTTCCGCGCCCAGGCTCTCCTCCCAGATCCGGTTCTGATGCCGGGCCCAGTTCAAAGCCCCGACGGATGACAGAAATCCTCCGGTCCGGACTCGGCAGGATGATAACGGTTCAAGGTGTGTCCCACAGCCAGCCGGCTAACCGAGCTAACCGCTAACACGAACCAAGAACCGCCGGGTCACAAAACAACGGCTTCGTTGTATCCGGATCGCACCAGAACCGTTTGAGCTAAAACCCACTGATTACCCGTTCTGACCCGGTCCAGAGACCCGCTGGGGTCGGAGAGTCAAACGGAACACAAAAGAAAAGGCTGGTTCCGTTAGCTGCCAGTTAGCCTGGGAGATAACAGCGACGGGAACACGACCTACCTTTGAACAGATAGTCGTACTCATCATCTCTGGTGCCCATCGTGCCAAAAAGAACAGATTAGTCCGATATTTGATTGATTAAAAACTAAAAATCAGAAATCTTTCTGACTCTCCAACGGGAATCTGTTTGGAATCTGGACGTGCCTCCTGTCTTCTTCTTCGCTAGAATCCAGGAGGCTGAACATTCCGACCCCTGGTGGTCAGAAGAGGAAACTGCGGCGGCAGATTCCGAGCCCAGAACAGACAACTGACTAAACTTAAAGATAACTTCACCGTATAGTAAGTCAGATCCTTACTTTGTAACAAAAACGCCTTCTACAAAACAATGACAGCTAAATGCAAATATTTAACATTCATTAACATGCGGAATTTTTTAAATAAAATTTATTGTGAAGTTGAGAGAAACAACAGAACATAACAGAAATTCTTGGAATTTGATTCTCTGATGGTTAAATTTCTATACAGGAAAACTTAACAAGCAATCATCAAATAGAAATACATTTTTAAAACAAATATTGAAAATTACAAAATAAATCGATGAAACAAAGATTGAACCAGCAACCTTCCCACTGAAGGATGACATTTAATCCATTATTTTATGTAATCTGCTTCACTAAATCTGGTTTTATGACAAAAAAAGTTACTGATTCCCATTTACCCAATATTTACTAATAAATCTGGTCGTTGCTAATAGTTGTCCTTTATGATTTAGTCATTTCATAACTACAACTGGATTGATTATCTTTAATGTTCATATAGATCATCAACCAAAAACCTTTATTTTTTTTCTACCTTAGAATGGAAACATTTTCTCATAAGTTGGGGAATGCATTTAGGCAAGAAGCAGACAGGTGAAACTCAGTGGTTTACAGTTAATTTACAATTTACAATATGCAATTTAAAATAAGAAAAACCAAACAGTAAAGTCCAGGGTGAATCCTAAACTACCTACAGGAGGAAACAGAAATACAGGATGAGAAAAGGAAGATATGACTGAGTTACAGCTGATCAGGAGCTGGATGGGAAGCCAGGCCACCATCTGTTTCCATCACAAAACCTTTTGCAAACGTTGTTAATATTCTATTTATTTAAAAAAATAAACACAATTTACAATAGCAGAGTTTTCATTGATTAAGAAACACAATTAACATCAGACATGATTAAGTTAAGTCATTAACTCATCCTTCAACTACTTCCTGTCTTCTTCTTTGTTGTTTCCATCAGTGGTAACATCCAGCTGTTGATCATGTGATGCAAAAAAAGTTCTGCTGCTGCAGCCAAAAAAAAAAACACTTCACCCTGTTGCCAAAAGTTTTTATCAAAACAAAAAAAAATTCTAAATTGCCATGTTTCCATAAAGCAAATTTAACTTAAAATATCAAATAGTGCAATTATACAATCAGTGGAAATGCAGCAACTGAAACAAAACTGAGGAAACGGCTGTTACATTAAAACCCAAACGGTCCAGAGTTACAGACGCAGAAGATCCAGAACCATCTTACAGGAACTTCAGGGTCGCATCCTTCATTTCTTCTTGTTATCAGGGAAAAATTTCTTCCAGTTAATGTTCTGCAACACAAAATTAAGAAACATTTTCAGATTTTATCAGCAGCATATTTCCACCTCGTTTTCACTGAGTGTTTTGGCGCTGTGCGGTTCGGTTCAGGGCCTTATGGGCCGACGGAACCAGGCGTTCCACCGCCAGTTTACGACGCCACAGGCAGAAAAAAACTGGAGAAAATTTACACCAAAAATCTCAGAAATTTCTGAGTCTCAAAAGTCGAAATGTTGAACTTGTGAAACTGAAATTTCCAAGTTTTTTTCTTGAAATGTTCTGAGATTTTTTGGCATAAGTGAGGCATCATCTTCTCTCTCTGCAGGGGCTCCAACACTCCGCTGCACCAGTGGGGCGCCGTTACCCCAAACAGCTAAAATGGCGTTATTTTAGCACAGCGTCACCAGTCAGAGAACCGTGGATCCTAACCGTACGGTACCATCTGGACCTGCAGCAGACCCAGGAATGGTGCAGGATCATCTGTTGTTTGGGCTTTATGATAGAAACAGATCAAATGGCTCAGTGGAAACATGCTGTTAGTTATTTCCATTCTTACATTTTTCCCCCAGGTGCTTTTGGGTTTTTTGTTCTTCACGTCCTCCACCGACTCGTACGTGTTGCTGTGGCCGGCGCCGTCTCCGGGGATCTGCTCGTACGTGTCATCGGGGGACCGCGTGGGGCCATCAGAGACCTCGGCGTACATGCTGCCTGCCTGCTGGGCCGGACCCCCTGCGGCGGCCTCGGACGATTGGTACAGAGGGTTGGGTCTCAGCTGGTCCAGGCTGCCGTTCTCTGGTTCTGACCCGGAGCTGCTCTGAGTCACACCTGGAGTGTGTGAGGAGTACGTGAGGCAGGTGACCTTCTTTGACGGGGCGGGCGCTGTGACAGAGAGGCTGTTAAACTTGTTGGAGTATTTCTCCTCCTTGTCGTCGTCGTTGCCCAGGTACGGCAGGGACTGGCTCCGGCTCTCCACCTGGCTCAGATCAGCACCCGGCAACATTTCTTTGTATAATGGCTTGAATTGTTTTCTGTTGGGTGGAAGGAGTCTCTGTTAGCGGGACACGGCGGAGTTGTCCTTCCTCTGTGTCTCGGCTCTCTGTTTGGGTTGGCTGGCATTTCACTGGATAGGACATTGTGTCTGGTAGAGATCCACTCAAGGAAAAACACAGAGGCATTCCTCTTTTGGTACCGGAGGAAGGGTCTGAAAAGAACAAAGCAAAACAATCCAATCCAAAACCTGTATTTGGAGAAATCATAAGCCATGCAGGGCCTGTCTACCCATAGCTTATGTTACTTGTTTTTTATTCTTTCGGACTAAAATGTAAATTCTTTTCTTGATAAAGCTGTTATTCCAATGCTGATGCGCTAACTGCAACCATGTTGCTGCAACATCTACAGGAATGGAAGGATCCACTCTCAGGAAAGTTGCATCAAACTGCGTTGCCATGTCTCTGAATGTTAGACGCAGCTGGACCGGGTCAGACCAGACCGTAGAGTTACTTCCATAAAGCTCAGTTTCTATGATGCTCTTTGTTATATTTCATGGTCAATTTAATGTTGGTGGCTTGGAGTTATCTGTAATATGCAGGTATGCAGAGCATAAAGTCCATGTACAAAATTCAATATTTAAACCAGTGCATGCATGGTCTGATGTATTCTCCGCTGATCAATTATTGTAAAGACCAGAAAAACTCTTTAAGAGCTGACATAAATTCAAAAACATGCAAATGGCCATTGGAGGCAAAGTAATTGAAATGGACTGTAAGTAATTAATTTATTTCTAACCAGGCTGACCTGCAGGTGAAGAGAAACCAGGATGACATGATCAGCTTTTCAGTGAGTTTCCATCCTACCTGTGAAAGAGACGATGCGTCCACGGATACGGTTCCCGTCAGCTTCCTGTTTCTGGACTTGGGAGGGAGGGAAGGCGCCGGTGCTGGATGAGATTCACTCTGATGCTGCTGAACCTTTTGTTTCTTGTCAGGTTCGACTTGGTCCCAGATGGAGCGCAGAGCTTGAACACTGACACCTGAAGTCTTCTTGGCATTGACCACATCATACAGATCATCAGCATCGTCCTAAAGAGTAACAGCAGTTACTGCACGGTCCGCAGTGCAGCGCTTCAAACATGAGTCGAATCTAACCAACGGCGCTCAGATTAAGGTCATACGGGTCAAACTTCACCACAACCATGTTCTACTCCAGTAGCATGAATTAGCTAACATGCTAACATTTGCTAGTTAGCAAGAAACAAAGCTAGTCAGGATTTTCTCAGGCTAAAGAGACATTTGGTAAAAAGGCAAAATATTCAAACTGTTTAGCATAGCAACATGCTAACATCTTCCTGATTATAACACTCAAATAGTTTGCTTTTGTGTTAACATTTGCATATCACAAAAGTCACAAATTCAATATTTTAATATTTTAGAGGTTTATAAAAAAGTGAAAATACAGAGTTTTACTGTATTTAGCACATTAGCATGCTAGCATTTCCTTATTAGCCCTGGCAATGTTAATTTATACAGACTTAAATAATATTTACTGAGTTTGATATTATTTGATCAGAAAAACTCAAATTATTCAAGAAAAATTTTTTTGTGGATTTTTTTGTACGTTTGCAAAGCAGCCAATTCAAACGTAAGCTAACTACCTACAAACTAAATACATTGGCAACTAACTAACACCTGGCTTCAAACTAAATATTAACTTGAAGTTTAATTAGGAAGCTAAAAACGTAACGTGAAGCTAAATAGTTTGGAGCTAAATATTTGACTAAACACTTTGTTGGTTTACGGTATTCAACTTGCTAATTCCATCTTAAACTGAAGGTCTGAGGACCAACAGATGAAGAGCTCAGTTGAAACATTTGTGAAACGGGATTTTGTGTCTCACCTGGCAGCAGCTGGAGGTGAGGAACTCCCCAAACGGCTGGATGGGCCGGACCTTGTAATACTCGATCAGCTGGGTCAGACTGCCAAACAGCTGACAGTCTCCTGCTATCACAAACTGCCCTTCAGGATTTTGGGAAATTACAAAATGGCGACACCTGTCTTGACCTCTGAAGGGCGGATAGTGGTTCAGTCAGAGAGTTGCGAGCGAATCACTCAATGATTTACTAGGAACCTTATTTGCCTCACTTGTAGGACAGGATGTAGCCGATGGCTTTATCACTGAGGCGGATGAGGAAGCAGCCCAGAGCTTTATCTCTCAGCACATCTTCTGCTTCCCTGCAGCGGAGTGGGAGAAAGGCAATTAAACAGAACTGCAGGCAAATTAGATTCAAAAATATCCTGTTTGCTGCGTCATGGAACTGCAGCAAACAGGTAGCGGCCATTGGTTCTATCAGAGGGAGAATTTATCGCACAAAGTCTGACGTGGCAGCGGTTACGTCAGAGGAAGAGAGGCCCAACAAGCAACGCAGGTTTGCAAACCTGAATGAGACGAGAAACATCTGCAACAATGATTTCTGGACAGATGAGACCAAAACAGAGACGTGTGACCAGCATCAAAAGAATGAATGTGTAGCAATGGCCTAGTCAAAGTCTTAACCTCGACCTGATTTAAATGTTGTGGTGAGACCTTCAGGAAGCCGGTTAGTCAGAATTTATTCACAACAACGTGAGAAAGTTTTAGAGATAACAGCGGCATCCAAACATTTTCAACGTTGGCCAAAATCACAAAGAAAGAACTCAGAATTTTTTTTTTTTTTTTTCAGTTAAAATTGCAAAATGGTTTTATTTTCAGTTCTTTTCCTTTTGCCTGCTAAGCTACAAAGTAACAAGTATTTTAATTAAAAAGGTCAGGCAAAAGGTCTCAAAGTTGTGCAGTTTCATAACTTGTCAGTAATAAAAATGAGAAAACTCTTGACTGCACATTTTTATAATTTTGTACGACTAAGTCAGTCTTTGAGTAAAAAGTTACTGGAGATTTGTGGCCCAACTTACTATGACAAAAAAAAACACACCTAATAAAAGAAAAACAAGAGTTTCTATTTCAGATATAAATTTGTCATGGAAAGTCTCCATCTGCCAGGCGTGGTCAAGGTGCGGCTCAGGGGCCTTTCGCTGCCCATGGAACAAATCTAGGCGGCCGTTAATCAGGAAGTTGATGCAGATTTAAAAACAAGGATTGGGGTGAAGTTTTCACGGATGAAACATCGAGTATTTATCCAGGTCTTTGCTTTGAATTGAATTTCTTCTACAGGTAAAAAGCTTTAACTAAAATGCATACCTGAGGAAGCAAATCAAGACGGAGCCACATTCTGCTCTGAAGTATTTCTCCTTTTACTTGAGCAAAATTTCTGAATTTTCTACCCGCTGAATGAAAAACAAACATGTTTTAACCCAAACCTCCCCAGACACACCCTGCAGTTTCTGTTTAGTGTCAGAAGTTTTTTATAGAAAGAAACTGATTTGTAAAAAAATTTCTTTAGCCTGATTTTATTTTTTGTTACCTATAAAAATTATTGTCATTTTGGTCCTTAAATACCAAAATCTGGTATTTGGTCCATGATGTATTTTTTTAACTATTACATACTTTTTGCTCTTGAGTAATTTCTTTGATCGCTACTTTTTACTTCAGTAAAAATATGTTGAGGTATTTTTACTTATAATTTTTGGGTGCTCTGCCTATTCTAGAAGCTAACTTTAGCATTCTGCTAACCAGAAAGAGAACTGAACGTGTGACTGAGATGCTGAAAACTCAAAACAGCCAATAAGAAACTTTCAGATCAACAAACTGAAACACTTTTAGCAGCTGCAGCAGCAGATCAGGATTAAATCAGATGAACTTTTATGGAAGTGGTGCAGATCTTACTTTCTGGCAGCGAGGCCCTGGAACCAGTCAGGGAAGTTTCCATTCTGCAGGATGAGAGGCGCCTGCGTGTCGGTGAACCACCTGATCACCAGTTCCTTCAGGCCTCCATCTGCCGCCAGCGCCTGCAGGTCCTCCATCGACTGCTTCGCCATCCTGGGCCGTCCTGGCCGGGCAGCGCCGTGATCATGTAGTCACTAACTGAGTGTCCAAAGGAAGCAGAGGCTCATTTGACTGTTTCAGTTGAATGTCAGACCCACATGAAAGATGCTATTGTTCCAGTTTATCTCCTGAGCTCCACCTGTCCTCCTGTCGCCTGTTTCATTTTCATATCTCTGTTCCTGCCCAGATTGATCTTTAACTGCTTGGCTGTAAACTCTAAAATCTTTGTTGTGATACATTTTGAGTTGCCATACATTTTTTTTTTATTATTTCACATAATAATTATCAGTTCCACTAACTAAAAATTAGCTAACCTATCCCTAAAGCACTAACTGGAAACATTCATTCCACTAATGCTAAAGCAAAACCCAACATAATTAATCATGGAAGCTTTCCTTAAGAACTATACCAACATTTCATCTAGCAGATTCTAACGCTAAACTGATTTATCAACATCTAGTGGAGGCTAGTGCTAAAGCGCTACAACATAGTTTTTTAATGAAAGCTAATGCTAAACTATCAACAAATTATTTATTGGCAGTTAATGCTAAAGCTCTACACCAAATACTAGCAGAAGCTAACGCCAACACAATATAACAACATGGTATTTAGGCTCAAGCAGCAAATTTAGTCATGTTGACACCCAACTTGGCAATACTAACATGTTTAACATGGATCCAACATGTAATACATGTTGCTATAACATCTATGTAAAGCCTGACTTTTGTCAAAATGTCTAAAATAAATTCATAAAATGATCCTGAAAATTTCAACCTGGAAAAGAAAGTTGACATGAAAACGATGTGGGAACTTTAAACACAATAAATCTATAAATTCATATAAAAGTTTACTTAATTTTTTTGTATTTTCTTTAATTATCCAGAAAGATTTTTCCACCAATTAGCTTGCTTTTTGTTTAAGTGACAGAGCTGAACGAGTACGGAAAGAGCCGCCAAACTTCATTCAAAGTAATGCAAATTAAAATTTACTTCAATTTCTACAAACGTCAATGTGGGATTTTTTTTCATGACATAATCGTCTGAATACTGTTCGGTTGTTATTTAACTCGGCTTAAAAAATACAGTTCTATAGTCTTTATTGTTTCAGGTATTTGACTTTTATTCTTGCTAGCAGACGTCCCGTTGCAGAGCAGAGCCGCGTTAAATTGGCAACTTTCAGAGAGGAGTCTGGTACGGAGTTCGGAGGTGACTTCAGTGTTCGCGTTTGGAGCAGAGCAGACAGACCAGGGGGACATTCTGGACCGGTGAACAGAAGCAGTTTTATTTTATAAAGAAAAGGTTTGCTTCCACAAATCCATCTGACGGTCTGAAGGTGTGACTTTAGTTTTCAGGTTATTTCCAGGATGATTTGTGGGTGAAACGTGTTGCTTCCAGCTGCAGCCATGGATTCATTCAAGCAGCAGAATGTGGAGGATTTCTATGAGATTGGAGAAGAACTGGGCAGGTATTCATGCAATACTCAACAGTTGTCTGCATTAAGAAATAACTGATAATTAATGCTGATTTGATTAAAATAATGATTATAAATGTCACCAACATGATAGTCACAGGTTTAGTCTTTGTGGGACAAACTGGAGGATTTGTTCTGGTATCATTCTCATGTTTTCACTCAACATTTAGTCGGTTCCTATTTGGAGGATATCACGTTTACTTCAAGATCTCTGGGAATTCAGGATGCAGACATATCTGAGGGTTCCTTTTAGATTTCTTGAGTGGTTTTATGTTCCTTTTGGAAATATCCAAATTTCCTCCGAACTTTTCTTTTTTATCTGTTCATAAAGTTTTTAGTTTGCTATGAAAACATTCAGACTTTCATGGATATTCAGGACTTTCTAAATGTGCTAAAAGTCTGAAATGTACATAATGTAAAGTGGGAACGGTTGCCGATCTGACCTGAACCAAATGATAATCTCTGAATCGTTATCTGATGTCACCAAAGTTTGAATTTCCAGGTGAACTTCAGAGACAGCAGCAGCTGCTCTTCTGATCATGCTGCTTTTTAAAGGCCTCCTCTATCTTTAGCAGCAGTTTTGTGCCTCAGCGGCGGCACGTCTCAGTGTTCGGTTACAAACTGGTCAGCAGAGGAAGCAGCCTGAGAGCTGGCCTAAACAGTAGTGCCATGTTTTTAAGTTTTTATGTTTTCTGCGTGTTTTTGTGTTTTTGCCCATACGTGTCAGGCTGATGCAGTCCAGATGTGTCTTTCTGCAGAATGTGTGCAGGACAAAAATAGAAGTGAGACAGACAGAGATTATCATCAGAAAAGCTCTAAAATATTGTAAAAGCCCTTGAATGGGGTCAGATAAGGGTTAGAATGACACCTTTTTCTTTCTTCCTCCAACTTCCTACTGAGAGCAGCCATTATTTTAATAATTGATTATTTTATCGATTATTCTGATGAATAATCAGAAGAAATGGGCACTTTATGCAGCTTTTTTTAATTGAACAACCTCAATGTATTTTATACAACATTAAAATGCATAGGAAACTGCACAATAACAAATAATTACATTTATACACAGACATTTTACTGCTGAATAAGTAGCAACAACATTCCTTTCGTGAACGTTTGATCATTTGTAGCAAAGGATGCGTCTAATTAATTTTGATATTTGGATTTGTTTAGATAATTTTGTTAACTTTTTCACCCTTACATTAATTTAAATTAATTAAAAACACGGCAGCGGTGACTTGGAGACATCTTTTTTTCTTAAATGTGACGTTTTGTGAAATAATTTTTTTATCCCTTTTGAATGATCAGATTAATTAATTAACTTTCATTTTCTCTAGATAGAAGTTGTAAGAGTTATTTTTTTGTCTATGTTTTTACTAGAAACTTACCATATATATATTTCAGACAATTAAGTCAGAATTGTGTTCAAGAAAAAAGCACTTGTTGCCGTCCTCTACTTTTTTTGGAAAGATTTTGATTTGGAACACATTTATATTAAATGTAAGATGTGTTTTTATTTATTTTTATGTTGCTCTTAGTATATTGTTTTCTCAGTAAATGACTTTTTTAGTCTGCATACTCCAGTTAACAATTAATCAATTACTGAATTGGTTGACGATTATTTTATATTAATCGTTTCAACCGCTGGCTGCACCCATGCGGTTTGGTGGTCAGCGCCCCCTAGTGGTCTGGAGGCCCTCGCAAATTTACAGCATTTCATTCTTCCAATTGTTTTTGATACTTGCAGCCTTTTTACAATTTCTGCTTGCGTGTGTTCTGGTTTGCATCATTCCTGTGTCGTAAGGCGTTTTCACACGTTCAGGTTTATTCTGCTTTCCTGATGTCGGATCCGAACTGCAGCTGACCTCTGACCCTGCTGCCCTGAGTCTACCCTACCCCTCACATCGTGTCTGTGTTTCAGCGGCCAATTTGCCATCGTGAAGCAATGCAGAGAGAGAAGCTCGGGTCTGGACTACGCCGCCAAGTTCATCAAGAAGCGGCAGAGCTTGGCGAGCTCCCGGGGCGTCCGGCGGGACGACATCGAGCGGGAGGTGACCATCCTGCAGCAGGTCCAGCACCCTAACATCGTCACTCTGCACGACGTCTACGAGAATCGCACCGACGTGGTGCTCATCCTGGAGCTGTGAGTGGCAGCACACCGCCACCGTGTGGCTGCTGGGGGAACTTCATGCGTCTTCGACAGAAACGTGCATTTTCTCAACTTTGGTCAGGATTTAGTTAAGGGCTGCGACTGCAAATTAGTAATAATTTATTCTGGCGATTAATTTATTATTTGAATGATTAGTTGGATATTTTTGTTATTTAATTGATTAACCAGATAGAAAATTGGCAGATATTTATTTAACCACTTCAACTTATTTCACACAACATTCAAAATACATAAAAAGATAAAAAAAAACTAATAATTAAATACATTGATTAAGTAAGAAAATCAACGTCTTATTGCAATAACAGCATGTCTTAATATTACCAAACTAGTATTGATGGATGGATGGATTAATCGTTTCAGCCCTAATGTCCTTCTGTGGACATGCAATGAAGGAAGTCTTCAACATAATCCTTTTTTTCATTGAATCCTGCATGGTGACCTTGTCCCAGCTTGTTTACATTGCAACTGGACGCCAACAGGGGGCAGAATTTAGCTGCAGAAAGATGCTGTTTGTCAGAATGTCATCAATTTACATGATTAGAAGAAAGTTCCTGCAGCTGGTTCCGGTCCAGCTGAAGCCGTGTCTGGTTCTGGTTTCAGGGTCTCTGGCGGTGAGCTCTTTGACTTCCTGGCCCAGAAGGAGTCTCTGATTGAGGAGGAGGCCACTCAGTTCATCCAGCAGATCCTGGAAGGAGTGAACTACCTCCACACCAGGAAGATCGCCCACTTTGACCTGAAGGTTGGTCCCACCCTGACCCGACCCGGGAGGTGTGGTCCCCTGAAGAGGTCACAGCGTGACCTCCAGAGCTGGACTCATGTCACAGCAGAGTATCAACCCTCTTTACTGAATGTTCATCTTTCGTTTCCCACTGAAGGACAAATAAATACTTTTCTATTCTAATAATGTTTTGGTTCACAGCTTTTATGAAGCAAACATGCGGATGGATGGATGAACTGATGGATGGATGGATGAACTGATGGATGAACTGATGGATGGATGGATGAACTGATGGATGAATGGATGAACTGATGGATGAACTGATGGATGGATGGATGAACTGATGGATGGCTGGATGATGGATGGATGGATGGATGGATGGATGGATGGATGGATGGATGGATGGATGGATGGATGGATGGATGGATGATTGGATGGATGGATGGATGGATGGATGATGGATGGATGATGGATGGATGATGGATGATGGATGGATGATGGATGGATGATGGATGGATGGATGGATGGATGGATGGATGATGATGGATGGATGATGGATGGATGGATGGATGGATGATGGATGGATGGATGGATGATGGATGGATGGATGATGGATGGATGGATGGATGGATGGATGGATGGATGGATGGATGGATGGATGATGGATGGATGGATGATGGATGGATGGATGGATGGATGGATGATGGATGGATGGATGATGGAATTGTTTGGTCAGCTCAATGTTTTGTTTGTTTCGGGTTTGTCCGTTTTGTTTGTTTTCTGGATCGTTGTGTGAAAACCTTCCACTCTGCTCTAATCTGGAATAATCCCGCTCTAATTTGGAATAATCCCGCTGTCTGCAGCCAGAGAACATAATGCTCCTGGATAAGAACGTGGCGCTGCCCAGGATCAAGATCATTGACTTCGGCCTCGCCCACACCATCGAAGCCGGCGTCGAGTTCAAGAACATCTTGGGAACGCCGGAGTTCGTAGGTGAAGCTCGGTCCGATCGGCTCGGTCCGATCGGCTCGGTCCGATCGGCTTAGACTGACTTCATGATTGTGCGGATTATTTGTTGATACTTTCTTTTTTCATCAGTTGAGCTCGGCTTGTCCCAATAAGCAATAAATCCATTCATCTCAACAACAAACTCAATAATTTCCATTTGCATGATTTATCATTTCTACCAAAAACTGGACGACGAAAGTCTTGATTTTGGTGCTTTGGTCTCAACCAGCACTTTTTTGAAGAACAGTTTTGTTTCCAGAAACGTAACAATTAATTTGATCTGTTGTTTTATTTATTTTTTATGTTTAAATGTCTTCCAGTTCCACAGTGTTATTATAATTATTAATATTAGATTTTCGTGATAAGTGTTAGGGCAATTTATCGCCCAGGAAACTGTATTATTGTGGCCTGCTGACACATTGACTCTTTATGAAGACTTTGTCCTGAGGAATTAATACTTATGAGCTTCAGGACTGAAGTTTATGAGATTCTGATCTGGAAAAGTGATTTCTGAAGGAAATAACCCAGTTGGCTTGTACGTCCGTCTTGTTTTCTGTTTCAGCTCCAGAGATCGTGAACTACGAGCCGCTGGGGCTGGAGGCGGACATGTGGAGCGTCGGAGTGATCACCTACATCCTGCAAGTGAACCGGAGGCTCCTGAGCAGAACCGCCTCCAGAACCGTACGGGGCGAGCCGGGCAGTGATGTTTGTTTCGTTCCAGGCTGAGCGGGGCGTCTCCGTTCCTGGGGGAGACCAAGCAGGACACGCTGGGGAACATCTCCGCTGTCAACTACGAGTTCGACGAGGAGTTCTTCGGTCACACCAGCGACCTGGCCAAGAAGTTCATCAGCCAGCTGCTGGAGAAAGACAAGAGGTAATGAATGAGGTGCGACATACTCTCCACAGGAAGGTGGCGCTCATGTTCTGAGGAGCTCGTTATTCTGTCTTTGTCTCCAAGGAAGAGGTTAACAATTCAGGATGCTCTCAACCACCCGTGGATTAAGGTAATCCATCATCCAGTAGCCTGGCAGCATCAGGGTGTGAATGAATGAATGAATGAATGAATGAATGAATGAATGAATGTGAAGCGTTTCTGGCATTTGGACTTGATAGAGCCATTCAAGGTTTGTGGATCCAGGAAAGCATGTTTAAGATACAAGGTCCTTGGTCATGACATCATTCTCAAGGTTTCCAGAACCTTGGAGACCCGAATGAAGCCTTAAAGCCTTCCTTTGTTCTCTCAACTCTCCTTTTGAATCTTCCAGTCCAACGAGCTCAAAGAGGAGAATAAAACCCAAGAGCCAAAGAAATGGGAACGCCGCCAGCTGAAGACTAAACGTCTGAGGGAATACACCATCAAGTGCCACTCCAGCATGCCGCCCAACAACACCTACGTGAACTTTGAGCGCTTTGCTCAGGTGGTGGAGGACATCGACCAGATGGAGGGCTCCTTTTTCAGCCTGGCGGCGGCCCACGACTCCCTGCAAGAGGACATCGACGCCTTGGTCTCCATTTACAACGAGAAGGAGGCCTGGTACAAGGAGGAGAGCGAGGCCGTGCGGCACGAGCTCTCCCAAATCCGCTACGAGTTCCGGAAGGTGGAGGCCTCCAAGAGGAGCCTGCAGGACGACATGCAGGCCTTCAGCTGCGGCCTGGCCGCCGTCACTGAGCGCTTCCGGGAGAGGCAGGGCCACTTCGACGCCCTGCAGCTGGAGCTCAGCAACGAGCTGAAGTGGGTGCAGGAGGCGGTGGGCTCCCTCCCAGCAGATGGAGGAGGTGGAGGCTATCCCAACTGCAGCTTCACCACCGTTTTCAACAACGACGTGAACGAAGCTCTCAAGGAGCTGCTCAGCCGCTCCTGCGGAGGAGAACTGCTGTCCGGAATCAACCTGGACCTCACCGAGACCGGGCAGCAGCGCTAAAAACACAGATCTGGGTCCGGGAGGAGGTTGGGTCCAGAGCCCTTCCTTCTTTCTTTTCTTCCTCCTCATTATTTTTTACTGTATAATGGACTCAGCAGATCCAGAACTGTGTGAAGTTGGTTCTGATTTTGGGTGGAACCTTCAGTTGAACATGTAGGACCTCTGTTGATGAGACGCACTTCGGCCTAATGCTGAGGTTGCGACATCATCACACTCTTACCCCTCTTTAGCACTCCGGTCCATCACTGCAGCATTTCTGATCCTGCCTCGCCTCTACTTTCACTAATGACCCGCTGGGCCTTCCTCAGAACCTCTGGGAATCAGAACCACAGATCCAAACAGGATAGCAGACTGTTGGCCAGGCTCATTCCCAGAGATGCAGCAGGAAATGCAAGGGTCTAGTTAAAGTTTTCAGCAGAAGGAGAACTTTGTGGTTTCCATCAGTTATTGCAGGAAAAACATGTTCAAATGTCAATAGGAGCTTCTGACTCCTTTAAAGAATAGGGAGAGTATTTGTTAGCTAACGCTAACGCTAACAAATACTCCGTCAGATAACGCTAATAATCAGTTTGTTAGCTAACGCTAATAATCAGTTTGTTATCTAATGCTAATAATCAGTTTGTTATCTAATGCTAATAATCAGTTTGTTAGCTAACACTGATAATCAGTTTGTTAGCTAACGCTAATAATCAGTTTGTTAGCTAACGCTAATAATCAGTTTGTTATCTAACACTAATAATCAGTTTGTTAGCTAACGCTGATAATCAGTTTGTTAGCTAACACTAATAATCAGTTTGTTAGCTAACACTGATAATCAGTTTGTTAGCTAACACTAATAATCAGTTTGTTAGCTAACGCTAATAATCAGTTTGTTAGCTAACACTAATAATCAGTTTGTTAGCTAACACTGATAATCAGTTTGTTAGCTAACGCTAATAATCAGTTTGTTATCTAATGCTAATAATCAGTTTGTTATCTAACACTAATAATCAGTTTGTTAGCTAACACTAATAATCAGTTTGTTAGCTAACGCTGATAATCAGTTTGTTAGCTAACACTAATAATCAGTTTGTTAGCTAACACTAATAATCAGTTTGTTAGCTAACGCTAATAATCAGTTTGTTATCTAATGCTAATAATCAGTTTGTTAGCTAACACTGATAATCAGTTTGTTAGCTAACGCTAATAATCAGTTTGTTAGCTAACACTAATAATCAGTTTGTTAGCTAACGCTGATAATCAGTTTGTTAGCTAACACTAATAATCAGTTTGTTAGCTAACGCTAATAATCAGTTTGTTATCTAATGCTAATAATCAGTTTGTTAGCTAACACTGATAATCAGTTTGTTAGCTAATGCTGATAATCAGTTTGTTAGCTAACACTGATAATCAGTTTGTTAGCTAATGCTGATAATCAGTTTGTTAGCTAATGCTGATAATCAGTTTGTTAGCTAACACTAATAATCAGTTTGTTAGCTAACACTAATAATCAGTTTGTTAGCTAACGCTAATAATCAGTTTGTTATCTAATGCTAATAATCAGTTTGTTAGCTAACACTGATAATCAGTTTGTTAGCTAATGCTGATAATCAGTTTGTTAGCTAACACTGATAATCAGTTTGTTAGCTAATGCTGATAATCAGTTTGTTAGCTAACACTAATAATCAGTTTGTTAGCTAACGCTAATAATCAGTTTGTTATCTAATGCTAATAATCAGTTTGTTAGCTAACGCTGATAATCAGTTTGTTAGCTAACACTAATAATCAGTTTGTTAGCTAACGCTAATAATCAGTTTGTTATCTAATGCTAATAATCAGTTTGTTAGCTAACACTGATAATCAGTTTGTTAGCTAATGCTGATAATCAGTTTGTTAGCTAACACTGATAATCAGTTTGTTAGCTAATGCTGATAATCAGTTTGTTAGCTAACACTAATAATCAGTTTGTTAGCTAACGCTAATAATCAGTTTGTTATCTAATGCTAATAATCAGTTTGTTAGCTAACGCTAATAATCAGTTTGTTATCTAATGCTAATAATCAGTTTGTTAGCTAACGCTGATAATCAGTTTGTTAGCTAACACTAATAATCAGTTTGTTAGCTAACGCTAATAATCAGTTTGTTATCTAATGCTAATAATCAGTTTGTTAGCTAACACTGATAATCAGTTTGTTAGCTAATGCTGATAATCAGTTTGTTAGCTAACACTGATAATCAGTTTGTTAGCTAATGCTGATAATCAGTTTGTTAGCTAACACTAATAATCAGTTTGTTAGCTAACGCTAATAATCAGTTTGTTATCTAATGCTAATAATCAGTTTGTTAGCTAACGCTGATAATCAGTCCATCAGCTGAAGTTGTGACCATAACTGAAACAGCTGCAGAATGACAGAGTTTAAACTGCAACTTGCTGCCAGTCACACTCCAATGAGCCGTGTTGTTCCTGTATTCTGGAGAACTGATTGGGTCCAGAAGCTACTGCAGGAGCATCAGCAGAAGAAGAAGACGACGGAAACAGAAGCAGTTACATTGCTTTCCACTCAGTCAGAGAAAATGAAACCCCCAAAATAGCAAGATGAGCTGCAGAGATACGCTGGTAAATGTCTCTGAGGCCGGGCCTTTCTGAGTCTGGGCCGGCCTGATAACCACTGGAGCGTCTCCTCACTGCGTCAGCCGGGACTCGACCCGTTTGGGTTGCAATGTGCTGCTCTGAATGAGCTGCTCTGAATGAGCTTCAGAAACACAGCTGGCTCAAAGTTTTCACTCCCCACATTCACATTTCAACCACAAACTTCAACATCTTTCATGAGGATTAGATGACAGAACAAAACAAAGTTAGACAGTTAATGACTTACGGCAAATAAAAGTCTGAAAGCAACACATGGTGGTGGCAGCATTATGCTGTGGGGATCAGAAGGCTGGGCGATTATGGGATGGTTTAAATCCGAGTTAATTCATCCTTTGTTAGAGTTAAATATGTTGCAATCAGCAATTAACCAATGAGGTGATAAATTAAAATGAGCTCAATAGTTGTCATTCTGATGGCTAATATGAAATAGTTTTGGTTTTGTGTGGTTTTCTTTTCCATTTTATTTATTGTTCTTGGTTTTTGTATTTTATTTTTGGATATTTAAAATCAGTTTGAGGTGTTCTTCACAAAATAAAGTTTTATTATTATTAACAATATATCACTTGAAAATGATGTGAAAATAAAAATATTATTTGCCATAGTAATTTATGGGACGTTCACTGCATTTAACTATAGTTTTCTTTTAAATTATAGAGTTTGCTTTCACAATAACATCATATTTTATTGTTCAGTTTCTAATGTGCAAATAAATACTGAGGGAGATCTATGGAGCTAAATTGGGGCCATAAATAGTGGAAACCACAAGGTTTCCATTGTTAAACAGCTCAAACAGAATCATATGATTTTATTCATTCATTTTGTTAATGCAGTTATTAACTTTTACTTTTATGTTTCCACTGAAGAAGATGACTCTATGTCTTTATGTGACATGAACATAATTCTGTGGGGAAAATGAAACAAAACAAAAAAAGTAAAGTTCAAAACAACTTTTCAGATTCAGTTTTTTTTTTCAGTTTAAACTATTTTTAAACAAACTTTGTAGTCCCCATTTAACACCAGATAAACCAGCAAATTCAGCATTTTACTGGCATTTATAAACACATCTCTAAGTATTGATTCAGCTGTTTTCTTTCATAAAAAACCAAACTTTCCAAATCACTCTGGGCACTTTTGTGCTCATCTTCATCTTTTTATTGAATTTGTCCTGAATCCAAAATTCATTCTTAAGTTGGAGTGTTGCACGAAATACATTGAGTGTGTGTTATTTAGGTTTAAGTGGACTTAGTGTGTCTGCAGCAGCAGCAGCTGCAGCAGCGGGCGGGTCGAGGCTTGGACAGACCGTCAGACTGCGGACCGACCGGCCTGCGGGGCTGCGGGGCTCTGGGAGCGGACTCCAGGCGGAGGAAGCTCCGGAGAGGCGGAGACCTCACCACAGACCGAGCTGCTGCTGCTGCTGCTGCTGCCAGTGTGAGGTGAAGCTCAGCCGGGCTGTTGTGTAAGCTCCACACAGAGGAAGAGGAAGAGGAGGAGCAGGAGGCCTTTTACCATAACGGTGAGTGAGCTTTAGTGTCGGAAGTTGGCTTCCGATTCGGTGCTGCAGTAAAGGGCTGCTCCGCTGTTTTTAAGGACTCCAGCCTCATTGAGTTCACCACTTGCCTGGAAGAAGGAAATCAGTCAATATTTCAGTGGGTGATACCATCTGTTGTTGACAAGCTCTGCTAATCCATGTCAGCGTTTGCTTTTGCTGCTCTTTAAATTTCTCTCTGCTTGTATGGTCAGAGGCAGAGACGTTGGAGTGGGGGTCAGATCCCGCAGCAATGTTCCTTTCAATGCAGTAATAAATGTAAAACTCTGGTCCTATGTTGGGCTTTAAGTTCATCCTGTTTATTTGCCAGAGATCTTCCCACTGTGGGAAGAGATGGTTGGAGCTTCGTCTATCTGCATAGGCTCCTTTTCAACTCCTCCAGGATTTGGGGTCAAAGTTCAAGTATTATTTGAAATGCTAACAGCTGCTCCCGGTTGTAAAAGTGATACATTGTTTGCATTATCACAACTGTTGGAAGTTAAAAAACAGGAGCAAAAATAGTTTCATCTCATCTCCATAACCAGCAGGAAAGTGGTTAAAAAACCAAACAGGCTTTTGAAACCTGCTGCAACTGGGAGTGGCACCGTTCCAGAAAACTTCATTTGAGAACATTTTATTCTTTATGTCAAAGATTTCATTTTCTTTCATTGTTTCCTTGTTTTTTCTTGTTTAGTTTGTTTTAATCTGAGCTGTGATGCAAACATGCTGCAACTCTTCCTTCCTGCCCACAGCATCACCATCCACCACGACTCTCTGGAAACACTCCAATAATTTTAGTTACGGCAACATTTCATTAACTTGGGGATGAAATGTTTTTCTATTTACTTGAAGTAAAAAAAATACCGTTGTGGCCCTTTATCTTCAGTCGGAAGCCAACTTCAGCTTCGGCTGTGAGCCGTTAGCAGCCGCTGCTAGCTCGGCTCAGCGCTGCTGTGATGCAGCAGATAACCAGGCTAACTCTGACCCAAAAAGGTCTGCTTTCATAAGGTGAGGCACTTTGGTCCGGTTTGCATGCTGGTAACGTGTTTTAAGTCATTTTATTTGAGCTCCACTGAAAGGTGTCACGTCTCTGTTTGGCTGTTTTCTTTCTGTTCCTGTTTCAGTGTGAAGCAGCTAGCTGCCGTTAGCAGCAGCAGCAGCAGCGGTTGCTTCAAACTCTTACGCTTTTTTCCGTTAAAGACCAAACTGCCAACAAAACTGGTGCCGTTCTGGTTCTCAACAGAACCAGAGAGGCTGGCAGCGCCAGCGGGCGGACAGCAGGTCTGTACTGGGAACCAGTGTGGCTCCGAGCTGTCAGATTTGTGCAACTGTTAGTTATGCTAGTCAGAGGAACCCGGGTTAGTTATGCTAGTCAGAGGAACCCGGGTTAGTTATGCTAGTCAGAGGAACCCGGGTTCTGCTCAGCCGGGTCATGGGTTCCTGTCCGAACCAGAACCGAAATGCACATGGATTGCTGTTAGATGGATGTCTATCTGTGTTTATGAGGGATTTTCAGTTCGTTGGGGAGTAGCTGGAAAACAGACGCACATCTGCGGAAATGTGAAAGGAGATATCGCAACAAAACCTGCGGGAAAATGAGAAATGAGGGAGAACCGCTGGATTTTACCGATGAGAAGAAGAAGGTGCGCCAGGTGCAGAAGGGAAGGTGCGCCAGGTGCAGAAGGGAAGCTGCGCCAGGAGCAGAAGGGAAGGTGCGCCAGGAGCAGAAGGGAAGGTGCGCCAGGAGCAGAAGGGAAGGTGCGCCAGGTGCAGAAGGGAAGGTGCGCCAGGAGCAGAAGGGAAGGTGCGCCAGGAGCAGAAGGGAAGGTGCGCCATGAGCAGAAGGGAAGGTGCGCCAGGAGCAGAAAGCACTCAGATATCTGACCTAACCCTGTCAGTGGTGTTGCATAAGCGTTTTCCTCCCAGAGCCTTCAGCTCCCTGATGGATCCGTCCTCAGCTGCTGTCAGTCTGGGAAGGTAAAAGCTTAACAACTCATGAATCCCAGAGTCAGATGACTGGATGAAGATCCTTGGAGGCCAAGCCAACACCTTAAACTGGACGCCATGCTCCTCAATATTCCT